CCAGGGCCATGGCGCTCTCACGCGCTCTCTCTCTCTCACACACACACACACACACACACACACACACACACACACACTGCTGGCCCACACCCAGCCAGGCAGCTCAGGGTGATCCCAGCTGCTTCTGACTCACGCCCTGCCCCTGGGGCGGGACTCACTCCTGGAAGGTTCCTGGTGATGGGTGAGGCCATGGAGAGTGTGTGTCTGCGCCCGGGTGTTCCCCGGAGCCGCACTGCCTGGTCCTAACCTTAGCCTTAGCTCAAAAGGCCATGGACACCTCATTTTCCGTCGGCCCCTGGCCCTCTCATGTATGTGCAGGGTTCCCCATGCATGTATGTGGTTAAATTAGGCTATTTCTCTTGCTAATCGTGTCGATTTAATTAATAGACCAGTGGGAGAATATAGAAAGGTAGAGGAAACTTTCTCTCCCCGCCTCCACCCCCCCCCCACACACACACTTACACGAAAAAATTATTGGTGTTTATTTGAAATTCAAACTTAACTGGGAGAATATATTTTTTGTTTCCCAAATGTGTCACCCCTGTGATCAAACAGCTGGCCAGCAGCAGGGTAGCATCTGATCAGACAAATCCCCTCGGCAACTTCAGCCCTTGCTCTGCCTGTGACCAGCTGTGTGGCCTCTGACGCGGTGGTTGCATCTGTAAAATGGGCGCAAGAGCAGCCGGACAGCGCTCTCACCCGGCTGCTGCCGGAGGAGGGATTTAAGGAGGTCCCCTCTGCATCGCCCCCTCGGACAGCGGCACGAAGTTGGGGCCCAACAGACGGCAGCCAGTGCCGTCTCCCCGACCTCACCCCCTGATCCACGGGCTCCCGGCTGCTTCCTGCAGAGTCACCCCGTCCCGGCCTCCGGTTGGGCCGGCTGTCCTCCCAGGAAGGAGGAAAGGGCCGGGCTGGGTGTGGTGTGCGCCCTGGTGCGTCCCCACCTTTTCCGCCCGGAGCGCCGGGGTCGGGAGGCTGAGCTTCCCGGCGCGTCCGCAGGCGGCAGCACCGGCCCCGCGGTCCCGGCCGGGCCGGCAGCGAGGCCTCACCCCGCGGGCGGAGCGCTTCCCGGTGATCATCGTCGGCAACCTTCATCCCGCTGCCCAGCTCCGGCCCGGCCGCGCCCCTGCCGCGCGCAGCACCGACACCGACTCCCCCGTGCGCCCCGATCGCGCGCAGCGGACACCATGGCGGGCATCGCGGCCAAGCTGGCCCGGGACCGGGAGGCGGCCGAGGGGCTGGGCTCGCACGAGAGGGCCGTCAAGTACCTCAACCAGGACTACGAGGCGCTGCGGGACGAGTGCCTGCAGGCCGGGGTGCTCTTCCAGGACCCCTCCTTCCCCGCCGTCCCGGGCGCCCTGGGCTTCAAGGAGCTGGGGCCCCACTCCAGCAAGACGCAGGGCATCGTGTGGAAGCGGCCCACGGTAGGAGCGGGAGCGCGGGCGGGCGGGCGGGTGCGGGCCTGGCCCTGGCAAGCGGGTGCACAGGCCCGGCGGGGGTGGAGAGCGAGCCCCGCACCGCCCGGGAGCCACCGCCCGCAGCCCCGCGGTGATCTGATCGCACGCGTCCCCGGGTCTGCGGGCCCGTTACCCGGCGCGGGCGTGGGACGCTCGGGCGCCCCTCTAACTCGCACGCCTTGCGGGACACTGATCTCAGTTCCCCACTAGCGGGTCCGCCAGCGGCGCCCCTAGGACGTCACCAAAACTGGGAGGCAGAGGGGACCTGGGGACAACTTCTATGGGACCCCAGTGGGCAGACGGTGGGAGGGTGTGGAGGAAAGCAGGCGGGAGACGACTCCTGCCCAGCAGGGTCTGTAGGTCTGTAGCCGGGCTGCTGCCAGGGAGGGGTAGGTCCCTGATCCCCTGTGACTAAGGGCTGTCTCATGCGGTCCTGGTTGGGTTTAGCCAGAGTTTCTTGTTTATTTTAACAAAGGGGAAGCAGAGAGGTCCTGCCCTGCCATTCATGCTGGTGGTAAACAAGTTACAGGACAGGCAGCCAAGAACCAGAATCCTGGCCCAGAATCCTCCCGGAAACGTGGGGGGCCCTCCAGGCCCCCTCGGCTTGCTCCCCAGTGTCCCTGTCCTCTGCTCTGGCCGGCCTGGGGACAGCTGGCTCCCTAATCTAGCTTCCGTCGGTACCCACGGACACCCTGCTGGCTCCACCTCTTAGGGGACCCAACCTGAGCACAGCTTCCTGCGAAACCCAACCTCTAGATTCCCGTTAGGAGACTAAGCATCCCCGTCTTGTCTCCACTGCTCTGAGCGCCCCCCAACCCCAACCCTCCTCCACCCCCCTCATCTTCTCTGTGACCCCGGACCCCGGCCCTGGGCAGCCAGCCCATAGGACGTGCCCTCCACCAGGACGTGAGCACCTGAGTTCATTTCTTGGTAACCTGCTCAGTGACCCGGCCTGAGACGGGCAACCTCTTTGCCCCCATTTCTTACAGTGGTTCTCAACCTTCCTCATGCCGCGGCCCTTTAATACAGTTCCTCATGTTGTGGTGACCCCGAGCCATAAAATTATTTTCGTGGCTACTTCATAACTGTAATGTTGCTACTGTTATGAATCGTCATGTAAATATCTGATATGCAGGATGTATTTTCATTGTGACAAATGGAACATCATTAAAGCATAGTGATTAATCACAAAAACAATATGTCATTATATATGTGTTTTCCGATGGTCTTAGGCGACCCCTATGAAAGGGTTGTTGGACCCCCAAAGGGGTCGCGACCCACAGGTTGAGAACCGCTGATCTAAGAGAAGTGGCGATGCCTGCACACTTTCCAGGCCGGTGTCTCCGAGGCCCGTTCCCTCCCGCCTTCCCACCTGCCAGGGACGCTCTTCCCTGGTTGTCTGGAGTCTGGCTCACTCCGATTCTTTGGGATGTCCTCAAATATCCCCTCCCCGAAGTCCTCTCTCCTGACCAGGCTTAGGAGCCCCCGGCCCAGCATTGTATTCTTTATCCCAAACCCTGCTCATTTCCTTCCTGGCACTTTTTCCATTTATAAATATAATCATCTATATTTGCACTTTCTCTGCACTGCAGGGGACCCTGCGTTATATTCATCAATGTATCCTCAGTGCCGGGCAGGGTCACTTCCCTTCCACGGAATGCATGCATTCATTCATTCATTCATTCACTCCTTCGGCGACATTTATTGAGAACCTATTAAACTGTCTTAAATGCTTGGGATACACCTGAGAACAAAAAGTCAGTGACGATTTGTGGCTGAGTGAACGAATGAATGAATGCAGGAATGTAACAAGCCTCAAATGCAGTTATGGTTGTGAGAGGGATAAACAAGAGACTGTATTCACCGTACCTGGGGACAGCACTTGACAGTTTACAAAGTGAATTTGCACACCCATTTCCTTATTCTTTCACTCATTCAGTAAGCATTTCTTGAACACCTCCTATACACCGGACACAGTGCAGATAGCGTCTGCCTCTAAATTATTGATAACTCTGTATGTAAACTATATGCACTGCCTTCTCACTAGGGGCCAGTGAAAGGAATCGTTGCAAATGCCCGTAGGACTCCTAGACGGGGAGACAGATCTGGGGCCACTGGTGGTGGGGCAGGCTGAGTACTGCACGATCCAGGGCAGTGTGGCTGGTATGTTCCCATCCAGCGGGCGGAGAGAGCGAGACTTGGAAAGGTTAAGTGTTTGCTCAAGCAGGTGTCCGGGGTGGAGCCAGGACTGTGCCCGGCCTGTGGGCGTTGGCAGCCCACAGCCCACAGCAGCCCTCTCTGCCGCTGTCCTGCTGGGGTCGGGGTCAGGCCAGGGAAACAGACCTGTGTCTACCGGGCTGGGGCCTCAGCAAGTCATTGGTGACTTAACCGAGCACTGCGGTGGGACAGACTTCCAGCCGGGCAGACGCGGACTGTAGGGGGCACCAGAGTAAGCCCCGGGAACTAAGGAGGGGTGTGTCCTGGTTGCAGATGGGTGCCCGTGGGAAGAGGAAGAGGAAGAGGGGCCGTGGGAAGGAGAGCAGGACCTGGGGTTCGAGAGGCTGTTGTTTGAGATGAGCGAACTGGACTGGGTTATGGGTTGAGTCACTGGAGCTCAGGCTCAAACCTGCATCTCCATCCTCCAAATTCAGTGATTGCCATCAACTTCTTCAGTAATAATAATAATAAGAAGAAGAAGAAGTAACGTTTATAGAGTGTTCGCCAGGGCACGCTTACCTAATTATCTCATCTAACTCTCATAACAACCCTAAGTGGTGGGTACGCCTGTCATCACCGTGTCCATTTTGCAGATGAGGGAACTGAGGCTCAAAGAGTACCTTGCAGGGTCATAGAACCCATATAAGAAGTGGCCGAGCCAAGACTCAAACCCAGGGCGTCTGAGGCCCAAGCCCAAGCCCCCAGCCCCTTTCCTCGGACTGTTACGTCCACGTCTCACCCCATACCCTCGGGCTGTGCGCACGGTTCAGTTTTCTGAAGCCTCTCTAAGCGCCGCTCTGAACTTTGTCTCCCTTGGAGAGGCTGCCAAGGACGATGTAGGCAAGTTGCAGAAACATAATGGAAAAATCCTCCTGGCATCAGAGCTTGGCGCCCGCAGGATTATCAATCCGATGCTTCGGCTCCCGGTCCTTCCATCCCCGGCCTAAGTGCTCGGCTGGCAGGACCCGGGCAAAGCTGGCCTCGTTTTCCCACTGTCCCTGTCACCTGCCAAACAGACGCCCTGAGCAGGGAAGGGACAAGGCGGAGGCACGAGGGGGAGGTGCTGGGCTGCCCACTGTGGCTCCGGGATGGACGGGGGCCGGATCCGGGTCTCGCCCAGGAAACACGCTGCTTGCCAGAGAGGGGCTCCCCGAGGGAGGGTGTGGGGTGGAGCCCCAACCAGGTGGCTCTGGGCTGGGTCGAGAAGCCCAGATCGATGCCCCCACTTCCTCTGTGGCTTTGGGTGGGGCCCTGCAGAATCAGGAAGCACTGAGGGCTGCCTCCATGGAGGGCAGAACGGCCCACGGTGGCTTCGCCCAGGCTACTTGAGGGGCGATCCTGAGGCTTTAACAGCCTCGGAGGTTTGTCGCTAATCAATTAGCTGCAGCAGGGGAGCCGGGAGTGTGCATTTTGCCCCAGGGAAGGTCACCTCTAGCCCCGCGCTGCCTGGAACTGGTGAGCAGGGTCACCTTAGACAAGGTCACCTTAGACACGCGGCTTAGCTCCTCAGCCTGTGTCCTCACCTGTGACAGGGGACATCCCTCTTGTGTTCCGAGGGGACCAGGAGATGCAGCACCAGCACGTACTGACAACAGCCAGTTCACAATACAGGACGCTCCAAGCACCACGGCCCCATAGAGGGATCCAGAAAGCTGGACACGTTCCCGTGGCCTGCACACGTGTGTGCTAGGAACACAGAGGGATGCCCGTCAGCACCACCAGGCAGACCCGGCTGACACCTGAACTGCAGAGTAGAAATACTCTGGGACTTAGAAGCGAAGGGAGGAGTGAGGGCTGGACTGGGAAGGAGGGCTTCATGGAGGAGGTGGCAGTGAGTCTTGAAAAGTGGTCAGAGGTGGAGAAGGGGAGGAGAGGATGGGGAAGGGAGGAATTCCACGCAAGTGAGACGACCGACGTGCAGGGACGGAGGAGAGGGGCTGGCGTGGAGGGTCAAGGCGGGCCCACCGGCCTGCACAGGAGGGTGCTGTGCGGCCCTCGGCGGTTTGGAGCGCTGGGCAATGACTCCCCTTCTCAGCCGGGGTGTCTCCCACCACCCATTGGGCCCCGTGAAGCGGGGTCAGAAGAGGACCCCTTGGCCGTCTGAGTGCGGCCACGGGGAGAAGGGGTGCGATGCGCCCGCTGGGAACCGAGGCATCCGAACTGCAGAAGCGCGGGCCTGCTGGGCTGACGGCACTTTGGGGGTCTGTCTCGTCCCCAGGAGATCTGCGATGACCCCCAGTTTATTGTTGGAGGAGCCACCCGCACGGACATCTGCCAAGGAGCCCTGGGTAAGTGGCGGCCCCCAGAGCGGCCTTGGGGTCTCGTCTGCAAGTCTGGGGGGTGAGGGGTGGGGGGAGGGCTGGTCTTGGGCTTCTCTCCCTTCCCAAGCAGCTGGGCCATTTCCATTGCCAGAAGCTTCCTGGGGTTTCTTGTTCCCCGAGGGCCTCGTGTTGAGGCCTCCTGTGTCCCCTGCACTGGGCTGGGTGTTGAGGTCACAGAGGGGCTTTTTTGCCCCCCCACCCACCCCCGTGGTCTCTGCACCTCCTGGGACCAGTCCTACCCGTGGCCCATGAAACAGTCGGGCTCTGGGCCCAGGCCCGAGGGGAGGACTCCCCAGGCCAGCGACAGCGCCGAGCCCTCAGCTTCTCGGGGTGCAGGAACTGGGATGGTGACTCGGGGTGAAGGAAGAGGAACCCCGATGACTGCTCGCTGTTGGGAGGAAGTGAGCGTAGCCGGGTTCTCGGTATTTGCACGATGAGTCGCCCTGGCATCACAACAGTGCGATGCAGTGCTGACCGCAGCAAAGGCAGCCGGAATGTTCCTCTCGGTGGGTGAGACTCACGGGAGCTGAACCTCGAGGGTCGGAGGCTGCGCATAGAACCCGCCCTCAATTTTTCTGACTCGTCATAAACAGGGCCCGAGGTCGCCGGAGTGTCCTATTTACTCTGATAAACCGAAACCTTGCTTCCTGCCATCACCTCCCGCTCACTGCTCACACTGGTCCAGGGGTGGGGAACCTTTTTCTGCCAAGGGCCATTTGGATATTTATTTATTATTTTTTAAACAATTTTAAAATATATATCTTATTGATTTTTTTACAGAGAGGAAGGGAGAGGGATAGAGAATTAGAAACATCAATGAGAGAGAAATATCGATGCAGCTGCCTCCTGCACACTCCCCACTGGGGATGTGCCCGCAACCAAGGTACATGCCTTTGACCGGAATCGAACCTGGGACCCTTCAGTCCGCAGGCCGACGCTCTATCCACTGAGCCAAACCGGTCAGGGCCCATTTGGATATTTATCACATCAAATCAAAATTATCAGCTTAAAAATTAGCCTGCTATTTTTGGCCAAACACTTAATTAACTCATCCCTAATGCCTTGCAGGGCCAGACCAAAGGATTCTGTGGGCCCTCTATGGCCCGCGGGCCGGACATTCCCCACCCCTGCACGACTAGTCCCTCAGTAACAACACTGATCATCTTGAATGGTACCTCCTTTCCGGGCCCACCTAGAGGTTCTGACACTCGGAGTAATAACCGCTAATGTTATTGAGTGCCAGACACTAAGCTGCGAGGGCAGAACTCTAAGGAGGCGTGATTACAGCTGACCCTCGAACACCACAGATTTAAACTTACACACAGATTGTTTGCAATAAGTAGGTCCAGTTCTATAAATGCATTTTCTCTTCCTTTTGATTTTTTAGTAACATCTTACTTTCTCTAGCTTACTTTATTGTAAGCATCCAGTATATAATACACATAGCAGACAAAATAAGTGTTCCTAGACTGTCTGTGTTATCAGTAAACTATTAGCAGTTACGTTCTGGGGGGAGTCCAAGTTACTTATACACAGACTTTCAACTGTGGAAGGGTCAGTGTCCCTAACCCCTGAGTTACTCGAGGGTCAGCTGTTCGCCCATTTTACAGGTGAGGACACTGAGGCCCACACAGCGGAGGTGGGCGCCGGGGATACAATGCAGACAGCCTGACGCCAGGCCTGTGTGTTTAACCCCGGAGTTGGATTCCACAGGGCAGCTGTGTGAGTCATCGGGGTGGGCACCCTGGGCCCCGGAGGTGGGAGGTGGGGGAAGGAATGCTTTCAAGGAGACCGTGACCCGGGGTTGAGGGCTGGGCGGGCAGAACCAGCTGTCTGAGCTCAGCCTCTGGGCAGATTCCTGAGATGCCAGGCACATTCCGACCTGAGAAAACACACACACCTCCATTTCCCGTCTTCCCACCGCACAGGCCATGGAAGCGGGGGTCCTTGGGCACCTAAGCTGGGGGCTGCTGGGAGGTCCACTCAACCAGGGACTCAGAGGCTAACGGGCTGGGAGCCGCTGCTGACTCGGACCAACCCAGGGGCCGCACCGGGGCTAACTTTCCGGTGCTATCTCAGCTGCACTAAATTCCACGCCTGGACTGAATAAACACCTACTTCAAAGCGTTATGACCTCTGAGCCAGTAACAAACAGAGGACTGAAGTCCCGCGTCAATGCTGTCAGGCCGTTTGGAGAGGATTTGGAGAGCAGACAAGCAGAGCCTACATCCCTGGGTAAAATTCCCCAAGAGAGGCACCAAGTCAGATAGGAAGCTGATTACATCAAGTCTTCTTAAAGCTCTTTTTTTTTTTTTTTTTAAGCCTCAGGCAAGGGTATGTGTGGGTTTTTTAAATTGATTATTTAGGGAGAGAGGAAGGGGGAAAGGAGAGAGAGAGAGGGAGAAGGACGGGGAGAAGGTTGCCTCCGTCCACTCCCCAACCCGGGATGGAATCTGAAACCTAGGCCTGTGCCCTGACCAGGAACCGAACCTGCCACCTTCTGGTGTTCGGGATGATGCTCCAATCAACCGAGCCCCCTGGCCAGGGCTTGGCCTTTTGTTAAGATGAAGCAGGAAAGAGAGAAAGTGACTTGTTCTCAAGTCACTCCTTGTGCCCGACACCGAGCAGCGCCTTGTGCTGGACGGTCAGGGCACCTGAGTTGGTCTTTGCTCTCAGTACAGGTAATACACACCCGTCCCCTGCAGCCCAGAGCGCAGCTCGTAGCGTTTTTCACCGTGCTCGCTCATGTAATCACCCCAACCCTGGGCATTTCCACCCCACCACACAGATAAGCAGACTGAGGTGGGGGCAGGGGGCACTCGTAAGGCCACACAGCTGAAAACTGCTAGAATAAAGAACGCTGCTCTGATGTTACGTCTCCCTGAGCTCTTTCCC